TAGCAACATACTCTGTTCCAAAGGCCAAAAATGTCAAAAGTATTTGGGAGCTTGTATCTAAATCCTTCAAAGATTTTAGGGTTACCTCTTCAGAGGGGGGAATGTGGTGATATGGGAGAAGTTGGAGGGGAGGGAGTGGGCATGGATTTGATCAAAACACCTTATATGCATGTCTGAAATTCTCAATAAAGTTTTTGTAAAAGTTAAAAAAAAAAAACAGTTACGAGAATCCTTCTGCCGTGGAGCTTGCATCTCGCCGCTCCGGCCTCCGGGACCACGTTCCATTCTTCCAGCCCGCGACCAGCCCAGAAAAAAAAAAATCCTTACTAATATCTTTTCTTGCTCGGTACATACCTTGAAGCGAGCAAAAATTTGTTGCAGTCAACCGTAACCATGAGGGAAATCGTGCACATCCAGGCCGGTCAGTGTGGCAAACAGATTGGTGCCAAGTTCTGGGAGATGATCAGCGATGAGCACGGCATCGACCCCACCGGTACCCACCATGGGGACAGCAATTTGCAGCTGGATCCCATCTCGGTGTAACTACAACGAAGCCACAGGCGGCAAGTATGTTCCTCGAGCTATCCTGGTGGATCTAGAACCTGGGACCATGGACTCTGTTCGCTCAGGTCCTTTTGGCCAGATCTTCAGACCAGACAACTTTGTTTTTGGTCAGTCCGGGGCAGGTAACAACTGGGCCAAGGGCCACTACACAGAGGGGGCGGAGCTGGTCGACTCTGTCCTGGATGTGGTACGGAAGGAGGCCGAGAGCTGTGACTGCCTGCAGGGCTTCCAGCTGACCCACTCGCTGGGTGGAGGCACTGGGTCTGGAATGGGCACCCTGCTCATCAGCAAGATCCGAGAAGAGTACCCTGACCGCATCATGAACACCTTCAGCGTGGTGCCCTCACCCAAAGTGTCCGACACAGTGGTGGAGCCCTATAATGCCACCCTCTCCGTCCATCAGCTGGTAGAGAACACTGATGAGACCTACTGCATTGACAATGAGGCCCTCTACGACATCTGCTTCCGTACCCTGAAGCTCACCACGCCCACCTATGGGGACCTGAACCACCTGGTCTCAGCCACTATGAGCGGCGTCACCACCTGCCTGTGCTTCCCTGGCCAGCTCAATGCTGACCTCCGCAAGCTGGCAGTTAACATGGTGCCCTTCCCACGGCTCCACTTCTTCATGCCTGGCTTTGCTCCTCTCACCAGCTGTGGAAGCCAGCAGTATCGGGCCCTCACCGTGCCTGAACTCACCCAGCAGGTCTTCGATGCCAAAAACATGATGGCTGCCTGTGACCCCTTTGCCCCCATGCCATGGCCGGTACCTCACCGTGGCCGCTGTCTTCCGTGGGCGCATGTCCATGAAGGAGGTGGACGAGCAGATGCTGAATGTGCAAAATAAGAACAGCAGCTACTTCGTGGAATGGATCCCCAACAACGTCAAGACCGCTGTCTGTGACATCCCTCCACGTGGCCTCAAGATGGCTGTCACCTTCATTGGCAACAGCACAGCCATCCAGGAGCTCTTCAAGCGCATCTCCGAGCAGTTTACAGCCATGTTCCGCCGGAAGGCTTTCCTCCACTGGTACACAGGTGAGGGTATGGATGAGATGGAGTTCACTGAAGCCAAGAGCAACATGAACGACCTCGTCTCCGAGTACCAGCAGTACCAGGATGCCACTGCAGAAGAGGAAGAGGATTTCGGTGAGGAGGCAGAAGAGGAGGCCTAAAGGCAGAGCCCTGCGTCACCTCAGGCTTCCCAGTTCCCTCAGCTTTCTTCACCTGCCCCTTTCCTCCTTCAGAATTTATTTCTACTGCCTCTGTCCTGGTTTTTTGTTTTGGGGGGTGAATAGTGCCTGGCACACAGTAGGCGCTCAATAAATATTTGTTTGTGGAACGTCTCCTTTCTCTTTCCACTCTGATGGACCTAGCTTTCTGCCCTTCTGGGTTACCTTTTATTTCCTCCTGGTACCCACTTCTCATAACTGTTCAGTTTAATATTCTCCCAGAAAAATTTTCCAGGAAACTTGAGTCTCTTCCAGATCCCATTTAGAACCAGCCCAGTGCTGAAAACCGACAGTGGCCACCATCCCAAGCCTAAGTAGTAGATGACGGAATGGGGGTTGGGGATGGCAGGTCCCAGTCACTGGCAGGAAGAGGGTGGGTTTTCAGTCTGTTTTTCACCTATTCCATCTCAGCCTCAGGAGGGGACTATACAGTATTATCTCCACCTACAGTCCCCCAGCTGTCCTCAGCTGCATCTGTCTTTGGAAGTGTCTGTCTGTTGCTTTGGGTCACTCCCCCACCCCCATTTTTCCTACACTTCAGATTTCTATTTTGTGTTGAACTTGCTTTTTTTTTCATATTGAAAAGATGACATTTCCCCAAGAGCCAAAAACAAATGGGAATTGGAAAAGAAAAAAAAAAAAAAAACAGTTACATAGAAAAAAAATAGCAAGTACATCAGAAGAAAAATGACCCCAAATGGAAATACAGATCCTCACAACAGCATCAAGAGCTCCAGGAGCAGGAGCTGGAGAGATGGCTCAGTGGTCAAGAGTGCTGGCTGCTCTTGCAGAGGACCTGGGTTCAGTTCCCAGCACCCACATGGTGGCTAACAACCATTCATAACTCCAGTTCAAGAGGACCTGACACCCTCTTCTGGCCTCCATGGACAGGCATGTTGCACACATGTGGTACACTTACATACACGTAGACAAAACATGCCTTTACATAAAATATAAATAGATAAATAAATAAATTTTTAAGAAGAGTCCAGGAGCAGCAACCACATGAGGAGTTATATTCACATTTCTCCTGTTCTATACAGACCTCTTTAAAAACTGAATGTTAAAAAGCAACATAAAGTTTGAGGTTCATAACATTTGTATAAATAAAATAATTAGCATAAAGACCAGGAATAAAGAAGTTCAGGTGTATCTTCTAAGGTTCTGAAAGTGTAAGCCAAGATTGTATGCTACCTGAAAAGAGACTGCAATAACCTAAAGGTGTAAAATCAGCACCTAGACAGACACTAAAGTAACAAAACCTAACTAAGAGGCCACATGAGGGACACAACCAGTTCATAAAATCCATGCAATGATTGCAAAAGGGTTAAAACGGAACTAAAGAACAGACCAGAAAACAGAAAATACCAGGGTGTCCGGCAAACTGAGCCAGATCAGCAATCACATTAAATATAAATTGTCTAAGTTCTTCAATGAAAAGGCAGATGTCCTCAAATTGGAGACATAGGCAGTGTCTGCAGCTTACAAGAAATTCCCTTATATATGAAAATACAAAGGAATTAAAAGTGAAGAGTAAAGAGATACTAACATAAGGCATTAGAATGCTGGAACAGTGGAATTAACATCAAACAACGATTTCAAAGCGCGTATGACAGGGCGAGGAAGATAATTCCACAGCGATAGCAGAAACATCCTCCAAGAGGTCTTAACATTCCTGAATGCTCATGCAACTCATTGCACAGCTTTAAAATGCACGAAGCAAAATCATGTGAATCCAAAGGAGGAAAACAGGAAAGTCCACAATCATCAAAGAGGTTTCAATACCCATTTGTCAATGAGAGGAGAATCAACGCACAAATAGACCAGTACCGACCAGCTTGACTGATGGATGGAAACTCTCTATGCTACAGTAGAGTGCGTGTGGCTCTGAAGCTCACAGAACTGTGAGTCCTACAGCAAGCTTCAACAGAGAGGGAAGATGGAACACAGGGATACTATGAAAATATGCTGTAGACCTGAGGAGGTGATTCAGGAGTTAAAGCACTTGTGGTGCAAGTCTGAAGTTCAGGGCTCAGACCACCAGCACCCACAAAAATGTCGGGTGGCCATGGCAGCTCACCTGTAATCCCAGCACTAGGGAGGCAGAGCCAAGGACTCCCCAGAGCAAGTCAGAGCTGGACTAGCTGAGTCAGGAAGCTCTGGGCCCAGTGAGAGATGCTACCTCAGTAAACAAGGTGGAGAGTTATTTAAAAAGACACCTGACATCAACTGCTGGCCTCTGCATGCCTGTGCACCCACATATGCATGTGCATCCACACACATGTGAACATGTATATGCACACCACACATATAAACACCAAAATTATAGCAATAAATTCAGCATTTTAGATGAAATGGGCCAATTCCTTTAAAGATGAAAACTGTCAGAACTCACTTGTGACAGGCAGCTGGTGCTGAAGGATAAAGTTTCTCTACGACTGCATAGGAGGTCTGCTTGCAGAGGCTGGAGCAGAAGGGGCTGGCATGCAGCGGAAGGGGCCGGCACACACCACCTGCAATCTATAGCGTTTCACTCACTGGTTTTGGAAAAGCAGCCTTGGGCAGCGCGAATTCAAGGGCTTGGCCACAAATGATGTTCCTTCTTGGAAGTCAGAGAGCCAAGCTGTGGAAACACAAAGTCTCTGCTCTGTCCAGAAACTGAAGCCAAAACCTCCTGAGCACTGACATTTTCAGAAGAGCCTGCAGCTCACACACACCAACCCCCGACCTGAGATCCAAGATGACAAACTGAGAGAAAACTACCGGGGCGTCTTATTTTGGGGGACCTAGAAAATATTCACCAGAACGGGAGAGAGAACACTTCGGATGTGAAGGAACATCATGGTCTGTATAACTATTCGCTGCAGGACTCAGAAATTAGTTTAAGGTGTGCGTTCTGTGGCCTATGTTTAACTTGGAAAAGCACAGTTCCTGTAAAACAAGGGTACTTAGTAATAAGTTGATAATAAATGCAGCCCCCTGGCAGGGCGACTGTGGTAGTTTGAATCAGGAATGTCCTCTGTAGAATCCAAGTGTTTGAACATTTGGCCCCAGCAGGTGGCACTGTTTGGTGGGGTTTAGGAGGCGTGGCCCCCCGGAGGAAACACATGACTGGGGAAGGCTTTGAGAATTCCGAGCCTTGTCCCATTTTGAGTTTGCATCTCTCTGCTTCCTGTGCAAGCATGTGGTTGAAGATGTGCGTGCTCGGCTTTCTCCTCGGCCTCCACACCTCCCCTCCATGATGGAGTCTTCTCCCTCTGGAACCATGTCAAGTAAACTCTTCCTTCTATAAATTGCCTTGGTCATGGTGTTTTATTACAGCAACAGAAAGGTAACTGATACAGAGGCTACTCCCAGCCCAGAGCAGCCCTTCTTCCGGTCTCCTACTCCCAGCCCAGAGCAGCCCTTCTTCCGGTCTCCTACTCCCAGCCCAGAGCAGCCCTTCTTCCTGTCTCCTACTCCCAGCCCAGAGCAGCCCTTCTTCCTGTCTCCTACTCCCAGCCCAGAGCAGCCCTTCTTCCGGTCTCCTCCTCCAAACTTGAACTCTGACCTTGGCATCCCCAGTTGCAGTGGCATTCTGGATGGTCCCTGGTGTCCAACCCATGACTACTAGAGACTGCCACTGGGCTAGCTGGCACCTTGCTCTGGTCTCGGGTATGCCAGGCTCACTTTCTGCTTCTGAAATCCTTGTTCAGGACATTTCTTCAGCCTTCAGCAGCCTCCTGATCTGTCACCAGGAACTTAAAGACCCAGGCTACCATAATCAAGTTACGCAGGTCTATCCTCAGCTCTTAGCCAGCAACCAAGTCCTTCTTTAGAGATACACAGCCAAGGCTGGGGATCTGACTCAGGTCATACAGCTCCACACTCACAGCCGCTGCCTCGGTATGAAGCCCGAGCTCATACCTGTAACTCTGGTGTCCTTGTTGGACATGGAGGTGACAGGATGGACATCAGCCTTCCCTGACTCCAGCTGTAGGTCTTGCTGGGTTCCTTTGGGGGCAAAGGCCTTACCAGGTCTTCTTTCCTGCCTACCTGGCCACTGGCCCATTGTGGCACTAACTACATCAGGGGTCAAATCAGCATTTTTAGACAGTGAGGCAGTGTTGTGCAGGACTGTCCTCAGAGTCAGGCAGATACCATCTTCCTGCTTATTGACTGGAGGGGAAGGGAGAGTCATGTGACCCTCACCTGAGTATCCAGCCACACCTCCCAACCTATTCATGTGCATTTGGCCCTAACTGCACATGGCCTCAGGGAAAGGACAGCGTCTGTAGGCCTGGGATGACTAGAGGAAGGGGCTCTATCTATGTGCTGTGGGAAGCCACCATCCACACTGGGTAAAGACTTCTGGTATGGCCTGGGGGGGGCACTCACACTCCTGTAATTAACCCCTCACCCATTGCTTTTTAAGTAAGTTCAAGAAACTCACTGGTTCCTCCAAGTGACCTTTGACAGAATCATATCTCTGGTTGTCATTGGGTCCCTGGGAGGAGGGGCTAAATAATGCTTACATCTCCAGGGAAGGAGGCTTAGCAACAGGTAGGGCTCTAAGCTGCTTGTGGATTCTTTGTAAAATTAGAAGTCCGTTCCTTTCAAGGTCCTATGTTATCTAGGACCATGCCTAGCCTCAGCTTGCTCCCAGAGAGGCTGTGAAGATTATCTACAAATACCCCTGCTCCAACAGCTTTGGTTGGACTTCCAAATTAGGAAACGTAGGATTGCTGGGCTACATAATGGGGGAGCTGTCCTGCTTTCTGTAGCAAAGCCTGTAGGCCAGGGTGACGGGCATGTATTTCCAAACCCGGTGAAGTCCCATGAAATCCCTTCTCTATTAGCATGAACACAAGAGGCCTTGGGCAATGTGGTGGGGATAGAGAACTAGCCTTCTGAGTCACGGCATGTCTTCTGTGGGCTCAGTCTGTGGGTTTGGGCTAAATCCAGTTCCCTCTTTTCTTTTAGACACTTTCTTGCCCACGTGTTTCAGGGAGTACACAGAGACCTGGCACTCAGAGCAGGAACTCCCTCAATCCCCAACCCATTTAGCAGAACATTTGATCAGTTACTCAACAGAACTTCACAGCATGGATACTTCCCTGTGGAGGACAGTCTTCCTCCCAGGGTCAGCCTACCCATGGGTCACCAGCTGGTTTGTGCTGGGTCCAGGGAAGCAGACCAACTCAGACTGGCTTGTCTTGGCAGGAAACCAAACTGTCTGGAAGCCAGAACTGCTCACAATAGCCACGTGGCATCTCTAGGAGGCCTGAGGTGAGCTCAGAAGTGGGGGCTTCCCTCTGTCTCACATCTTCCCTTCTGCAGAAAGTCACATGTCAGTTGAGTGCTTCCTTTAGGAGCCAGCATAGAGCTGAAGTGGGAAAGAAAGCCTTGTGCCCTCATGTCTAAGCCTTGGATCTTCAAGAGTCTGCTTAGGAGTGTGGGGACCCAGGCAGGCTGGTCTTATCAGGAACTGGAGTACCCTGAGGAATGTAAGCAGGTAGGGCTGGATCCTTTTACCCATGGGAAACCTTCCACAGATCTAGGGAGCATCCGAGGCTCTGGTAGATGTTCTTTCTGGCTGAAACTTTTCCTCTTAGGT